AAATTTCATATGCAATGCCAAGATAAGCACTAACGTGGGGCTCTACAGCTTCAGCTGTCGCGCGGGTTCTATATTTGTTTCTCTTGAGTCAAATGTGGCACTCCCACTCTCACTTTTATCCCACGACTGCCTTCAGCTTTGCAAATAAATAGGTAAATGGTAAATATAAATAAATGCTGAGGCTGTCACGCGGAGGCCCAATGCTGCTCTCACAATCAGTTAGCTCGCAGCCGACACTTCACCCGAGCATTCCGTTCATGTTTAAGCGCGATTCCTGATCCTGAAATTTCAAAGCAAGGGTTTTGATTTCCGGAAAAAATATCCGAAATATCAAGCAAAAATTCCAATTGTGAGAGATTTCTCGAAACTCAGGTTTTTTTCAAAGATTGCATGCTTATACCTAGCAAAAAAATCGGCGTTACCCATACCACTTTAGACCCTGGCACTTTCCAAAGACTTTCTACAGAGAAGTTTCTTTCAGAAGAGCGAATTGCTCGTCGTCTCAGCATGATGTCCTACTCTGTCATCGACGAGAAGAAAGACCGCTTTATCAAAAAATTCGAGGAAAAAAGGTGAGGCATAGTGTCATAAACAAATGAATGATTTCCTGACTTGGGCAAAGGGTTCAGAGAAGCGCCAGAACTCGACTTGTTCTTATTTGACCCGCAGACGTGTTTGTGTCCTAGCTAATGGACTGCATAGTTGGAGGCATTCCGGTCGGGGTTTTTCTCCTGAAGTAGTCCCCATCAGCAGCTGCCCAAATGTGTAGATAGCATTGCTGGTTCGGATGGGATCGGTTCCCTTGCTATTCGGTCTTGCGACGTCTTCCTCTACCACGAGAACAGGAAATAATTATTCACTTTCTTGGTGGAACTTTTCAAGAAGTCATTTTCCGTATATGGTTGATTAACTCATCGGTAGAAGAGTTCTATGGTTTTGCCACTTCTCCATCAGCTCTTAGCCGCTGAAGGCGCTTCTAGGCGGGAAGAGCTTCCAGGGTCAACAGCTCGTGTGAGCTAGTGTTCATATTATTGTAAGACTTTTAGAACACCTTTTGTGCGACGAATTTCTGAGACCTGGAAGCGGAGCTGTACAAGGGGGTCGGCCACAGGCCTCGGCTAACCATAAAATCCGTCTGTGACACAGGTCTAGCCTGTGAATAGAATCCCTCACCCTCTTCCTATCTCTCGTGCCCACTTCACTTTCGCTACCCACTCCAATGAAGATTGCTGAATTTCTCAAAGTAAGGTTTGCCAACTGGATCGCCTCTCCATTTCCACTAGGCTTGAGCGTGTGGAAAAATCTGGCAAGCGCCAGAGACCCTATTTTCAAAGGTTTCTTTAGGGATGCTATTGTGGCGAAGAGGGCAGCAAGCAACATTCCCAAACCGACGATTGTTTCTCAAGCATCCACGCCAATCACAAGCGAAGAACGAGTGGCCATCGTGAGAAACCTCTTTCGGTGCGTTTCTTTTCCTTCTCTTTTTCTTCTTTTTTCTCCAGTTTGTCGAGTTCTCCGTTAATTTCACGTGAGAAACCCTTCCAGAAATGCTACAGAAAACGAACTGGCCGTCTATGCCTCTCTACTGGCCGAAGGAAAATTTTGCTCGGTTGGCCGAACTGGAACGAGAGAAGAATGCGAAGCCACGGGACCAGAGTTGCAACGAATTCGAGAAGTAATTAAGGCCGGTGGAGGGATTTCTAACGCGTAACTGATTTTGGGTTGGCTTCGGGTTGATAGACGGATGGTTGCAGACATGATTAGTTGCGTGTGTGAATCTATCCATTTCTTATAGAAAATAAAAAAGGACCAAAAATTCCTTAAGGTCTCGTTGCTGTCGAAGGATCCAAAGACGATAGACTTTCTGGTGCCAGCCACACTGGAAACGGCTCGGAAGGAGCAAAGTCAGCACATTCTCGAAGAGGTATGGACACCGAACAGTCCATCTCCTGTCAAAGAAGGCGGAAGGCCTAGAAAGCGGGCGATCACTTCGCACCCGCGACCACAGCCGTTACGGCTCTTTAGATGGACGCCAACGGTGTGGTTATTTT